GAAAAGGTGAAAATAGACTGATAGGCGAAGGGCATTATGATCATAAAAGGATATGTCAAGGTTAAATTTTCCTCTAATCCCAGACTGCAGGAGGGAAGCTACTGCTCTAAAGTCCTTCTGCGTAGCTTTATCCATGAGCTTGCTCTTGACAAACGGAAACAGTAGTGTAGTCCAGAGACCAATTACAAATCACTCTTCTGATTCCTTTAATCCCCTCGTTTCCATTTCTGATTAAAATAAAGATTTTTTTCTTAGACAGCAAAAGAAGAGAACTTATAAGTAGTCTAAATCTTCAGCTAAAAGGAAGGCCTTGAGAGCTGTCTCTCCCCCCCCCCAACCTTTTAAGTCACTACCAACCCTTCCACATCTGCTTCATGGTGCTAGTAAGCATGTGCTTGACTTCCAGTAAAGGCAACGTGGCAGACATGAACACAGGACTCTTGGCACTTCCCATGTAGCTGATGAAATCACCACATGATCCAAAACCTCCCAGCAAGATCTCACTCAAATATCTTTTCAACCAAGAAGGAAATTGGAGGAAACTATCGTGTGTTATTACCTCCAGGGATGGTGATGATGATGACAGTGATGATGACTAACAGTTACTCTGTACCTACATGCCAGGCACTTAACACTTTATTCTCATATTATCCCTAAGTAAGTACCATGCAGGATATTCAGGGGAAAAATACGTTTGCAGAAAACTTGCTCAAGGTCATATGGCCAGAATATGGTAGAACTAGAGACTTGAGACCTTGGGCGATATACTGTAAAGCTTAAAACTTCAAGTGCTACCTTAACACCTTTGAGCCTTGTGGGGTCCCAAAGGCATAACCATGAGAGTTCCTGCTCTCATCTGGTAGCCCCTCTCCCCGCCTTCCCCATAACCCTGCAGGAAAGGCCTCCTACTACCGTATTAGCTGGACCAACTGAACCCACTCTCCTCAATCTGCAACTTTGACTCTCTGCCAGCTTGTGAGATTGTTCAAGTCTGCCTCCTACAGCTCCTTCTGGTTCAAAATAAAAAGGGATGAGAATTTAGCTCAGTCGTAAAGCACTCCTCAGTTCAATCTCTAGTACCCCTCCCCCCCCAAAAAAAAAAGAAAGAAAGAAAAATTGGGGAGCCGGTATCCATGTGATGGGAGCTGGTACTATTGAAAACACCCAATGGAAATGACCTTACACTTTGCATCAACTGCAGCTGAGGCCTGATGATGCTTTCAGAACAACTAGGCCATTTCTTTGGGTGGATCTGGCATCAAGGTGGGATATTCACAACAGTGACACCCCCTCTTCTACACTTGGAGGGGGAAAAAGGCACCAAAGTTGTAGCAAAAATGATTCTCTAGATAAATGGATAAAGAAACTATGGCATATATACGTAATGGAATATTACTTAGCAATAAAAGATAATAAAATTATGGCATTTGCAGGTAAATGGATGGAATTAGAGAATATCATGCTATAACTGCACATATGGTATGACACTACCTCATGTACAACCACAGAAATGTAAAGTTGTGCTGCTATTGTGTACAATGAATCAAAATGCATTCTGTTGTCATATATACCTAATTAAAATAAATTGTTTAAAAAGAAAGAAAAAAAATGATTCTCACAGGGGGAACTTACGATCTCACCCACACAGGTGACCCAGGGACCTAAGCAGCTGAGTTGAACCCTGCCAGGTATGTCCTAGACTGCGTAGTTGTGAATAAAACCAAGATTGGGGGAGGTCACAGAGTGAGAAGAACATGAAATAAATCCAAGGGTCAGCTTGAGCATTCACGAGGTAAGCATATTTGACAAGGACTTCATGTTTCCAAGCCTCAGTTACTGCATTTGTATGGTAAGCAAAGCAACTTACAAGGCTGTTGTGAAGATCATGTAGGATAATGGGTGTCAAGTACCTGGCACGGTTGGAAGACACAATAATCAGAGGAAGCTCCATTCTAGACTGTATGGAAGGCTGCGTCCCTGGTGGGTAGAGAAGAGACAGCAAATTAATGTTAGTATACAGAAACAGTCAAGTCCTAAGGCTTTACATGGATTCAAAGTCTGAAGAGAGAAATCCTCTCCCTGTCATGACTTTTGGACAATATCTATGCTATAATACCTCTTTTTCTAAAATGAAACTCTTAGAATTAGAGGAGTTTGTTTTGTTTTGTTTTGTGATGCTATGCTGTTTGGTGGTGGTTATTTTATTTGCATTTAGTAGGTTCTGCTTGTAGGTTTGGGAGAGGAAGTTCATGTTTTCAGTAGGGGAATAAAATAGCCTATTGGGGTCCCATGTTATGGGACATGGATGGGTCATTTGTATGTCTTCACATGTGGTTTCACCTTTTCTCATAATGGTGAGACCCTGAGAAAAATCACACTTTTTGGGTGCTCAGTTTTCTCAATTATTAGATACACTGTAATTTCGATGTCAGCTCTTTATTAGTAGTATTATTGTCCCTGTTTTTTAGGGAATGCTTCTCCATAGCTTTATGATGTGAATTTAGAGTATTTGATTTCTGAGTTTTGGGGTTTCGGATATTGCCTTCACTTTTCCCCTTCGGTTACCTGTTGGTTCCCACAGGCAAAAGTTCCCCATACAGTCCCACTTTCTGAAGACCTCTGTGGGGTCTTCAACCAACTTCAGTCTAAACTAATAAGACACTTGCTTGATCTCTCTTGCCCTGATTTTCCATGAAGATTGTAACTCCTTTGGGAACATATTCCAGTTGGCTTCTGTCTCTGTGGAGATACAGTAAGTGATTGGAGACCATCTGAACTTTCATGGTGGTGGCAGGGACTAACACACTATTTCTTCTGCTGCTTTGGAATAATGTGGCCCTACAGGTGGTACACTACCATGTTTTAAGAATCCAAGTCTACCTTGCCAAAGTAGGATCAGGCATTTCCTCAGCACAGAGAGGGCATGGTAAGATGAAGACCTCCAAAGCAGAGCCCAAACAGAAGTACCACTTTCCCTTCATTGTCTCTAAAGATTTCTTTCTACCTCACCTGGGGGAATCAGGATTGTGCTCTTTAAACTGGGAGCTCCTGGAGTTCTGTTCTCTCCACCATTCTTTCCTATAGTCATGTCTTTCCACTCTGTCACAGCTGAACTAGAGCCCACACAATCGGTTCAGGTGTACAGATGTTTATACAACAGTGCAAGGGAGTCGCAAAGTACAGGCGACCCAGAGATTACGTGAGTTACAAGGACAAAGCCTCGCATTACTCAGTTAGCTTGGCACAGGTTTAAAGCATTTGGTTCTACTCAACAAACATTAAACAGTCCCTTCCTTGCTCTCCCAGCTTCCCCCCTACCCCAGGGCTTGGCCCCGCCCCTCCCCCCATCTCAAAGCCCAGTCCTTTGTCTTCACTATCCTGTCTTTATTCTTGCTGGGATTGTTGGGCTTTCACCAAGACTATGTTTCTGTTTCCTGGAAAAACAAGGACAGAGTCCATCAGGTGGATGCATCACTCCGCTAAGCTTCAGAGCAAACCCTTCTTGAGAAGACCTTGGGATCCTGATTGCCTTTTGAAATTTGCCCACAGGTCTCTCATTGTTAGGATTTCTAAAAGCCTAATTATCTCTGCTGAGCTCTATCAGAGTCTTGGTCATCCTGGGTCTTCCCAACTCACTCCTTTTCTTGTTCCATGGAACTCTAAAAAGCCCTCAGTTCATTAGAAGACGGCCCCTGGTGCACACATCACCAACTGTGATCCACAGCTCCGTCCTGCCCTGGTGCGTCCCAGCAATGCTGTGTATCTCCCAGTCTCTACAGACTAGACCTCCTTCCATCCCAGCCTCCCAACAATCTGGGTCCCTTGAGGATTTCTGAGGAAGTAAGAGTTAAAAGAGTTTTACTATAAAATTCCTAGGAGAGAGGCATGAAAATATCCAATCCCAACACATAAAGAGTAAGAAAAAGAAAATAAACAAACATATTATAATTATATCAGGGATGTGCGGACTTATACATAAGATATTTTCCTTTTTATTCTTTTTTCTTCTAAATGTCCATGTGCATTACTTTATAATTAGGAAAACCACTATTTATAAAGCAAGTAACCCTCTATCACCCAGCAATGCCATTAGGAAGAGGCTGGGTTTCAGAATTGTCATTGCTCCCCTGCCCTGTCATCTCTTTGCAATCCTCAGTTTTCTCATTCATTTATTTATTTCTCACTTTGTCCATCCATTTCCTGTCACTTCCTTCAATATCAGTAGCTAATTTCATTTCGTTCCCTGAGTCTTCATATGTTTCTCTCCATTTCCCAGACTCAGAGTTGGGGCAGAAAGATCGTGAGAAATAGCAGAGTCACAATCAGGTCAAGGCACTTAAAACCTGGAGGGCATTTGTGTCAGTCAGGGCTCACCAGAGAAACAGAACCATAGGAGAGAATGTACATGAATATAAACAACTGGGCTGGAAGGAGTAAGGCTGGGCTGGTTAAGGGCTCTGAGTACCAGGATGTCATAGAGCTGAAGAAAATGGATGTCCCAAGTCAATCAGAAAAAGCAAATTTGCCCTTCCTCTTTTTGTTCTGTTTGGACTTTCAACAGATTGGGTGATATCTGCCCATACTGCGAAAGCCATCTGCTTCACTCAGTTCACCAATGTTAATGCTATTCTCCTGTGGAAATATCCCCCTCCCCAAATAATGTTTTACTACTGATTTGGACATCCCATAGATCAGTCAAGTTGATATATAATTTTAGCCATCTTGAAGAAGGCAGAATTCTGAGATGGCAGGAGCTTGGATACCTGAGTCTCTGAAAGGAGGAGAGTTCTTGTCAACTGGCATTGGACTTTGTATAAGTGACAAATGAACTTTCCCTTTGTCAAGACTCTGAAGTTGGGGCTTGCCGCAACCCGGCTGGGCACAGAATCACAAGCCACTCAAGCAGGAACAAAACTTTATTTTTAAAAAGGCCACCAATGCCCCGTGCGCGCCCGGCTAGCCAGCTGGTCCACACACGTGTGTGCGTCTACCAGAACCGGGCCCGGACCTCCCCCCGAATTCCCGCCTACTATCCTTCCCCAACCAATGGGAACTCTCTAGGAGTCCCGTAACTTGAGTCCCTTAGCAGGCCCGAGGTGAACAGCAGGAGTCCAATTTCCATATGAATGTAAATCTTAATATAATCGTATCATCTCAATGGCTAGCTGACAGTCACCTTAACCAAAGGTGCCATGCATCATAATACTTTGCTGTGGCTCCTAGCAAGGGCTGGGCTTGTGGCTCAGTGATAGAGCACTTGCTTAGTATGTGTGAGGCACTGGGTTTGATCCTTAGCACCACATAAAAATAAATAAATAAATAGATGTATTGTGTTTACCTACAAGTAAAAATATGTTATAAAAAAGGCTCTGAAGTTTAGAAATTCATTTGTTACAACATCAGTCTAATCTGACTAATTGTACCTTATGTCTCTCTCCTTAATTCTCAGGTCACTCCCTCAATCCTCTCTCCTTAATTCTCAGATCACTTACAAAATATAAAGCTTATTTTGTTAAAAAAAAAAAACTTGTAAAACTACCTTAATAAAATATAAAATATTTCTCCTAGTTTTTCCTTTTTCATATATTTGTGTTACTTATATTTAAATTGGTTAGAGTTTGTTGTTCCTAAAAAGCAAATCAGTCAACCAAGAAGCAGATGTTGATTTCATTGTACAAAAATGTAAGGCTACCAGTATGTCCTCCACCCTAAAGCATTGGTTCTGGGTAAAATCAAAACCAAGATCCTATATTAGCTCCACATGACTTGGTTGCCTGAACCTATGTCCTATGGATATAAGAAAACAGTGGATTTCTAAGATGCCACCTATCTCCACTCTGAACTAAAGCAGACCTTCTCTAGCTGGAAAGACTCAATGGAGAGCTGTCTATGGACACTACAAAGCATATTTAACTAGATTCTCTTAAACACGTTTTTTTAGAAAGATAGTAATTGAGGCTGGACCACACACCACATTGGACCAGGAACAACCAAAAATCCTGTTTCACACAGTCTTAAGTTGGTAGAATTGACTGTGCAAAGAAAAGCCTGATCCCAGCGTTTGTAGCCAAAAGAGAAATAGGAGGACTCAGAAGGATGATGGAACTGGGGAGTGGTAGGCCAGAAACAAGTTAACAACCCAGTATAATCACTTGTGACAGAAGAGACCCCAAAACTGCAGGAAATGGCTACAACAAACGGTGAAATTGGGGACATCAGACAGAATCCCATGGAGAGTCCCAGGATATGGTGGGGAGCTAAGTTTTCAACATGCTCTCAATGTTTAGTGTAGTGACATTGCCTTCAGTGGCCACACAGCAAATGCAGAGGGGGTAACTTAGATGAATCAAACTATTAGCTTTATTGTTACTTAGAAAGTGAACCTCAAAACCCACAATTGGTTGCTCAACCTAAAAAAAAAAAATATCTCCTGCTACTCCATAAATAATTATCACCCATGTGAAACTAAACAGGAAATGAGAAAGCTTGGTTCATCCCTGGAGAGATGCCACGGATGTGCATTGTCAGAGCTGCCGTTACAACATGGATCACTGACTCATGGCCAGGTGCCCTGGTTGGTTACTATGCCCTTGGGGACAGAAAAGAAGGTACAGTACCTGACTATGATCTGACTTCTAGCATTTAACAAGCTGAATGGAATTCATGTGGGAGGTAAACTATTGTCTCTGAGCAACAACTTTCAGCACCCTATCTGATATCTGCATTAGTCTTGTATCATGTTTTTGAAGATGAACATTGTTTTAGTGGGAATCTGTTCCCACTCAATCATGGGCCAATTTTTCCTCCTACAGGTACATTTGTTGACTTTGATATATCAGTGAATATATTTGTATATAGTGTTTCTTGTATATAGTTTTTCTTGTTATGAAACATTATATAGATTTAATAAGTTCTTCTTCTTTCCTAGCTCCCCTGAAACTAATAACAGCGGTATTGAGAGTTTTCTATGGGCCACA